GTTTTCTTCTAGGAATTTCACTGTTTCTGGTCTAATTCCTAGGTCTTGGATCCACTTTGAATTGATTTTTGAACAGGGTGAGAGGTGGGAATCTAGTTATGCCCAACTCTGGAGCTATGAGATTGGTCTTCCTAGTAGAATGGAGATAGAGGTCATGTGCCTTGGGCAACAATCCATTGCACACGGGCGAGAAGCCCGGATAGTTCCCAAGGAAGAACCCAAATCTCCATGGCTCCATAAGAAGTGAAGACCCTCAAGTAATTCACAGATGCCTAGGCAAATTCAGTTTCCTTAGCCATCAGGAGAATGCAAATCAAAACTATACTAAGATTTCATTTTACCCCAGTTAGAATAGCAATCATCAAAAATATGAAAGATGATAATTGCTGGTGAAATGTGGGGGGCAAAATATACTCTTATACATTGTTGGTGGATCTGCAAATTAGTACAACCACTTTGGAAAGCAGATTCCTAAAACAAAACAAAACAAAACAAAAAGCCATATGACCTAGCTATCTCACTCTTTAGTATTTATCTGAAAGAATTAAAATCAGCATACTATAGTGATACAATCACTTCTACATTTATGGCAGCATAATCCACAATAATGAAGTTATGAAACCAGCCCAGATGCCCATTGATAGATGAATGGATAAAGAAAATGTAGTAATATACACAATAGAGTTTTACTCATTAAAAAAGAAAAATGAAATTGTGGCATTTGCTGGTAAATAGATAGAAGTGGAAAATATTATGCGAAGTGGAAAATATTATGCTAAGTGAAATATCAGTCCCAGAAAGTCAAGGGTTGAATGTTTTCTCTTAGATGTGGAAGCTAGAGAGGAAAAAGGAATAAAAGGAGTTTTCATGAAAATAGAAAGAAGATCAGTAGAGTAGGAGTGAAGACCAAGGCAAAGGACAGAAGGGAAGGAAAACAGGAAGGACTGGGGAATGAAGCTGACCAAATTATCCTATGTGCTTGTATGAATATATCCCAGTGCATTCCAATTTTTTATAAAATTACAATGCACCAATTTTAAAAATAAATAGAAGGAAAAAAATTTGTAATAAAGTAGAAGGAGATCAGGGGAAATGAAGCGGGGGGGAGAGAAAGAAGGTTTACTGGGGATTGACAGAGCAAACGATGCCATATGCATTTATAAATATATCAGATATGAACTCTATTGTTTTTATAACTATAATACCATAATGAATTTTTAAAAATTGTTTAAAAATCCAAGCATGTATATTTTAAAGAAATTAAGAGAATGATATGTGTTAAGAGAAATTAAATATATATGTGTTAAGAGATAAGAATCTATGTGTTTGGTGCTGGAAAAACTGGATATCCATATATATATATATATATAGGAATGACCTATCAACCTACACAAAAGTCCAATCAAAGTGAATCAAAGACTTAGAAATTAGATGGGAAAGTTTGCAAATGCTAGAAGAAAATATAGGGCCAACACTCCATCATATAGGTGCAGGCACTGACCTAAATTCAAGAAATAAAATCAAGATAGATAAGTGAGATGGCATCAAGTTTAAAAGTTTCTGTGCAGCAAAGGAAAAAATTAAGAGCATGAAGGGAGAGCTTACAGAATGGAAGAAAATCTCTGCCAGCTTCTCCTCTGACAAGGTATTAATATGCAGACTATATAAATAATTCAAAAAACTTAATACCCCGAAAACAAAACAAACAGTCCAATTAATAAGTAGGCAAAAGAACTAAAATTACATTCCTCAAAAGAAGAAATTCAAATGTCCAACAAATATACAAAAAAATTGAACATTTTTAGCAAAGAGAAATGAAAATTAAAACTACACAAAGATTTCATCCCACTTTATTCAGAATGGCAATTATCAAGAATACAAATAAAAATAAGTACTAGAGAGGATGAGAGAGGAAAGATACACTCATACACTCTTGGTGAGGCTGCAAAAATTAGTACAACCACTCTGGAAAGTTGTATGGTGATTCCTTAAAAGACTAAGAATGGAACTATCATATGACGCAGCTATCCCACTCCTTGGCTTTTATCCAAAAGAACTGAAATCAGCAGATAATAGTGACAAGTCACTTCAGTGTTTACAGCAGCACAATCACAACAGCCAAGT